TCTGTTCCAGTGGTAGGCTGTTCAGTCCTCTCATCAGCTATAGGTGCTACAGTACCGGTTACCGGACCTAACGTTTCTCCAGTGGTAGGCTGTACAGTCTCCTTTTCTCTAGTGGTAGGCATTTCCGTCTCTTTTTCTCCAGTGGTTGTTAGTTTGGTCTTCTCAGCGGTCGTAGGTTCTGCATTAGTGGGTACTAGACCTATCGCTTCTCCAGTGGTAGGCTGTACAGTCTCCTTTTCTCCAGTGGTAGGCATTTCCGTCTCTTTTTCTAGAGTGGTAGTCTGTTCCGTTTTCTCCTCAGTTGTAGTTACTACAGTAGCAGTTACTTGACCTATCTTTTCTGCTGAAGAAGATTTTCCAGTTACTACTTCTTCAGTGGTCGTTCGTTTTCTAGTTACTACTTCTGCAGTGGTTGGTTTTCCAGTTACTTCTTCGGCAGTGGTGGCTGGTTTTTCAGTTACTACTTCAGCAGTTGTTGGTTTTACAGTTATTACTTTATCAGGGGTGGTTGGTTTTCCAGTTACTACTTCAGCCGTGGTTGGTTTTCCAGTTACTACTTCACCAGTGGTGGGTTTTCCAGTTACTTCTTCAGTAGTGACTGGTTTTCCTGTTACTACTTCAGCAGTAGTTGGTTTTCCAGTTACTACTTCACCAGTGGTTGCTTTCGCAGTTAGTTCTTCAGTAGTGGTTGGTTTTCCAGTTACTACTTCAGCCGTGGTTGGTTTTCCAGTTACTACTTCACCAGTGGTGTCTGGTTTTCCAGTTACTTCTTCAGTAGTGGTTGGTTTTCCAGTTACTACTTCACCAGTGGTTGGTTTTCCAGTTACTACTTCACCAGTGGTTGGTTTTCCAGTTACTACTTCACCAGTGGATGGTTTTGCAGTTTCTACGGCACCAGTGGTTGGTTTTCCAGTTACTACTTCACCAGTGGTTGGTTTTCCAGTCACTACTTCACCAGTGGTTGGTTTTCCAGTTACTACTGCATCAGTGGTTGTTGGTTTCCCAGTTACTTCTTCAGTAGTGGCTGGTTTTGCTGTTACTACTGCAGCAGTGGTTGGTTTGGCAGTTGTTACTTCAGGAAAGGTTGG